TCATACCCAACTAATTTATTTTTAAATTTTTTTGTGAAGATAGGACCTCACTCTGAGCGCTGTCTGGTCTCAAACTCCGGGCTTAAGTGATCCTTCTGCCTTGGCCTCCCAAAGTGCTGGGATTATAGGTGTGAGCCCCTTTGACTGACCTATGATTATGTTTTTAAAGAGTGCTTGTCTTTTAGCGATAAACACTGCAGTATTTATAGATATAATAATGTCTGGGATTAGCTTCAAAGTAATGTGATATTGGGGAGGAATATTTGTAAAACAAGAGACGATTGGTGACGAAGCTAGCTGATGGGTAGATTGGGGTTCAGTCTGTTATTGTCTTTTCTTTATAAATGTTTGAATTTTCCATAATGATTTTTAAAACTTATAATTAAATCTATATTTCCTACCAATTTTGGTTAATTTCAAGATAGAAAACAAAACTCACACACCAAATGTTTATGATGGCTCTTGTTGTTATTGTGTACTATGTAAAATTTGTTTAAATATAGTTTCTTCACACATCTGAGAGAGAAATTTCTATATTGTAAATACTGATCAATTGAGTTAAAACTGAAATATAACTTTTACCCTAACGTCAAAATTTAAGACTGTTTTAGTCTAAATTCCATTATGGACTGTTAATCTTTGCTTTTCAACTCTATTTTTATAATTTTATTCTCACCTATTTTACATCTCCATTTTTATTTTATGGTCAAATGTAGAAAGAAAGACTGTCTGGGCCGGGCGTGGTGGCTCACCCCTGTAGCACTTTGGGAGGCCAAGGCGGGTGGATCACGAGGTCAAGAGATTGAGACCATCCTGGTCAACATGGTGAAACCCCATCTCTACTAAAAATACAAAAAATTAGCTGGGCATGGTGGCGCGTGCCTGTAGTCCCAGCTACTCGGGACGCTGAGGCAGGAGGATTGCCTGAACCCAGGAGGCAGAGGTTGCAGTGAGCCGAGATCGTGCCATTGTACTCCAGTCTGGGTAACAAGAGTGAAACTCTGTCTCAAAAAAAAAAAAAGACAGACTGTCTGATAATAATAAAATTAGTTTCCAGTTTCTACTTAGTGTGACTTTTTTTCCTTTCTGTTTTATTTTCCTAACAGTATTTTGGGTTGAATAAATTATGAACTTCTACAGTTTTAATTCTAAATTTCTCTCTTATTTTCATGAAACTATAGAGTCATTGTTGATTTTTCAAAATCTGAATGATTGTTGCCTCTAGTGTGGGTCAGTATTCTGTATTTTTAATTACTGTTTCAAAAACAGATTTGCCTTTCCAGTGATACTTGGGTTAGACTGATATTTAAGTTACTTTACCTATCCTGAATCTACACTAGCTGGCATGGGGTAAATAAAGCCTAAATAAATAAAGCCTGTAAGTGTAATGGGTGGTAGGGAAGCTGTTTTGAAACCTACAACATATCATCAACAACAGATTATTAATATTCCTAGAAATGCTGCTCACTGTACTTTTCTCTCATTTCTTATACCTATAAATGTAACATCTTCTGGATTGAACCCCGATACTGTGACAATCAAGTATTTTTTTGTAGGAAATGTTGTTATTGTCTAATATTCATCAGCCTTCTGAGCTAGGTTCTTATGTGTAACTCTAAAGTCATGGAATTTTACCTAAATGCATTTCTCAGATTCATTTATAACTGGTTAGAAAAGCAGTTGGAAAGTGCTGCTGTTCTCTTAACTACCCAGATACGTTGGCATAGGTATTATTTTTCTGTGCTTCAGTTTCCTTCCCTGTTAATCTCTAAATTGGACTGGATAATCTCCAAAGACTCAGCACGAAACTCTGATTTTTAGTTCTTTTTCCAGTTTTTGAAATAGTTTTGAAAACTTTACTACTTTTTCAGAGCTCTTCTGTATCTTTCTACCTTACTTATTTGATGCAATGGATTCTTCACCATTTAAAGAGAGAGTGTCATGAAGCTTCACAAATTAGCACTTCAGCATTGTAGCATCACATCATAGCTGGTGTGCTATTGCACTGATATGCTGTGTCTTCATCATACATTTTCAGTTGATTTGATATTTGCTAAAAGTGGGCAGTTTTAATTACTACCTGCAATTGAATTCTTGTAGATCTTTAGTTTTTAATCTTGAAAGCCGTTAGTATGCATTTAAATTAAACCAGGAATTGGTATACAGTGTGTTAAAAGAAAAACTTCAGCTGAATTAAATTTAATGGAGTTTAATTGAGCAATGAATGATTTGTGAATCAGGCAGCATTCTGAGTCAGAGTAGGCTCAGACTCCAGCGCAACCACATGGTGGAAGAAGATTTATAGACAGAAAAAGGAAAGTGACATTCAGAAAACAGAAGTGAGGTACAGAAACAACTGGATTGGTTACAGGTTAGTGTTTGCCTTATTTGAACAAGGTTTGAATAGTTGACTACATTTGATTGGCCAAAACTTGATGATTGGCACAAGTGTAGGCTACGGTCTGTTTACACCTCCACATCTTATAGTTCCCGGTTTACAGAGAAACCTTTAGGCTGAACTTAAAATATGTAAGGAGGCAACTTCAGGCTAAACTTGACTTTACAAGTATAATTTACATTTTAGTTTTTAGGTATTCTTTATAGTTTATGGATACTCTTTGCTAAGTTAACATAGCAGTTTTTAGTACTCTCTTTCATAATCCATTTTAGATTGTAACAGCTACACAGAATTTGTTTGTGCTAATGTATGTAGAAAATTTACAAAGAATAGGTAAGGAAGAAGACTTGCAAAATTATTAAGTCAGGTGATCTAGATCCAGATCTTTGGGAATGAAGCCTACTCAAAGACAGAGTTTAATTTATGTTATATAATGAGAAGGAGAGAAAATTTTACCTCTCAAAAGGATTGCTGTATTCTTAACGGCTAAGTTTACCAAGAAATTTCTCTATACCAAGTTATTTTATTAACTACTTATCTGTCTTTTATCCTGATTACTTCAATTTGGGATATTTGGCTTTTTAAGGGCTGTAGCAACTTTCTTTTGTTCTGAAAAGTCATTTTAAATGTTTTTGTGTTTCTTTCCTACTTCAGTGCATTTGGCATCATTCTGCAGTTTCTTTGGCTTCTCTGACATATGATTACCCTTCGGGTTAATTTTTCTCTTCTTTAGAAGTTATTTGTGCCACCCCTGTTTGAACTCTAATGCCTGGATAGGAACTGCCTTGGAGGTCATCACATTAAGCTTTATGCAAATACGCGAAGCAACCTTGCTCAGATCCTTAGGTTGTTTACTGCCGTCCACCGAAAGAGGCTTTCTTGCTGCTACAGAAAAGGTTAAAAAAAATCTGTCTGGGCAGTTGCATATCAAAGGAAATTGTAAGCAAAAGTCAGATGAACGGATAAAGGTAAAATGGGCCTTAATCTATTTTAAAAATTAGGACCAGAAAAAAGATGCCTCACAGATCTCTAGCAAAATTCACTCAAAAAGCTAGCTTGGAATAGAAAGTTAAACTTTCCAAGGCACCAACAAAGTAGCAGAGTGCAGCATAAAATAGCTGAGGTCACCAGAAATGGGAGGCAGTAAACCATTATAATATGATATAAAACAGCCATTGTTACTCTTTAAAAGACTCATTAAGGAGCATTTTTCTGTTTCAATGATGTCTTATGCCTTCATGCTATAGGTCATCTTCCTCTCTACTCTCTCACATTTTCCCTCATTTTTTAGTTCCAAAGCCACCTGATTGCAATCTCATCTCCTAAAGTACCATTACCCAAATACTGTTATAGTAATGGCCTCTATCCCTGAGTATCTACTACTGATCAGGCACTGTTCTTGTGCTCTCACATGATCTCATCTTGATCACAAGATCAGTATTATTATCTCTACTTAATAGATGAAGCAGTTAAGTAATCATTCGCTCAGGGATGCATAACTAGAAATTCTACAACATGAATTTGAACACAGGCTTTTCTACTTGGAGTTAGGACTTCTAAATTTCACTTTAATATAATGTACTCTTATGCCCTTTCTACTCTTACAGGTTTATTCCTCTGTAGAATTATTAAAATACTGTTTTCTTCCTTACTCAAAAATGTAGATTTTTGAATAAAATCTGCATTCACTTCCTTATTCAAAAATGTAGAATTACTATGCTGTGTTTCCATAGTTGGGAATTCAGCATTCAAAGCTTTTTCCAGCCATGCTCCACCTTTTCTTCTGTCCCACTGTCCTGCTCCCAGCTGGCAGTAATTCATGGAATTGTCTTTTCCTTCTAATTAATAATTACCATGTTATGCTGCACTCTTGAAATACCTATTGCCTTCTGTGCTTCATGTCTGTCTTTCTGTTTTGATTACCTTTTCCACTGATGTTCCATGTTCCTCCTCTCCTGTAAATACTTGCTCAAACCCTCTATCATTAATCCCAGTTGACCTCTACTAACAGATGACGTTCCCTCAGCCCTTATACTTTCACTGTCTATTGCATTGCTGTGGGTTTTCTCTTTGGGTTCTTGCAGTTGTGGTGTTTTATTGTGTTATAAAGAAAGATTTTAAAGTCAATATTTTAATCAGATGAAAAACTGATAGTGTGGTTATACATAATAACTGAAACATCAATATTTTATATTAAAGAAAACGGATGACAATCTTTTTTTTTTTAAAAAAACTTGGTACTTTTACAAAATTACATTCTTATCTTAAAAACCAATGGGCTAAAACAAAGCAACTCCCCATCTGCAGATAGGTAGAATATAATTCATTTTGCTTAAAAACTATTCACAAATGTATGAAATATATGAAGCATGTGAAGAAATTTGAAATGTGAATATGTTGAAGGATGTCATTTACCTCTGGGATGTAATTATTTCCCCTTTCCTCACCTCTTTTTCATCCTTCACGAAAGGCATAAGTTACATGGCAAAGACAAGCTTGTTCTAAAACCTGAAGCAGCCCTAGGCACGTCTTCGAGTTGAGAATTTGAGGATGATTCTTGAAACTGTGTTAGTCAGTTTCAATCTTGTGTTTCTTTTTCCAGGTTTCCTGAAATGCAGTTTTTCCAACAAGAAAATGTGAGAAAAATTCTTACAGATGTTCTTTTCTGTTATGCTAGAGAAAACGAGCAGTTGCTTTATAAACAGGTAATGAACATATCTTACAGGTGGTATCCATTGACTCAAAATTTTCTATAAAGCTTGACAAATGATAGAGCAGTAATGTAGCCTTTATTGTATTCAAAGTTGTATCATAATGCTAAAGCAATCAGAGAGCTGCTTGTCAGCTGCATGGTGAGAAAGGTAAGCTCATTGAAGCACATATGCTTCTTCCCCATTTTAAGACATTCCACCAAATTGTCTTCTATAAGGTGTTCAATCTTTTCTTTCAAGTTTTGGGAGTTTGTTTATAAACAGCATCTTTGAAGGCAATCTAGTAATAAAGCTTCAGAGTGGTATGTATAAATATTATTTTTAAGTATAGCATTTATAAATATAGGACAAAGCATGTAAGAAATAATCAGGAACCCTATTACTCTTTAAAACTTACCAGTAATAGAACTTCAGAAAGTTTCTTTCATTTTTTTGAAATTCATTTTTAGTTTCTTTGTGATCCTGTTATTTGATTCATCTCATTACTAAAGAAAGATGATTATTGGATTGTTTTATGTTATTGAAATATAAATTATTGAATACATACAGATGTATTTACATTTCTTATTTGAGTTTGTGGTGTTCTAATAAAAATACAATTGGATATTTTTATGTATTTCTTCAAGTGCAAATTAAGTGAGAATTCGAGCTAAATTTTTAAATTCTCTAATAATCAAGTTATAATGTGTATCTAATTCAGTACCACTGAACTTAAATTTAAATAATAGAAAACACTTATGGTAAAAGCAATGTGTTTAATTTGAAATAAACTACATTTAATGATAGTAAAACATATCAGACTACAAATATACTAAATACATTTTTAATTATTGTGTATTTATAGAATACCAAAGGGAATTAAGTTTATCTTATTTTTAATAGTAGTAATATTTTTCTGTATTAATTACCTGCTGACAATAGCTTATTAGAATTGGAAATGAAAAATATATTGCATTTATAAGGGCAACCAAAACCTATAAAATGTCTAGAAAAAAATTAATAAAGATAAAAAGCTATATGAAGAAAACTATAGGCCAAGTACAGTGGCTTAGACCTATAATCCCAGCACTTTGTAAGGGTGAGGCAAGCTGATTGCCTGAGTCCAGGAGTTTGAAACCAGCCTGGGCAATATGGTGAAATCCTGTCTTTACCAAAAAAAAAAAAAAAAAAGAAAATCCACCAAATTAGCTGGGCATGGTGGTGTGCATGTCTAGTCCCATCTACTTGGGAAACTGAGGTGGGAGGATCCCTTGAGCCCAGGAGTTTGAGGCTGCAGTGAGCTGTGATTGATTTACTGCACTCTCGCCTGGGTGAAAGAGTGAGATCCTGTCCCCCCCCAAAAAAAAGAGAGAGAGAGAAAAGAAGACTATAAATGTTATTAAAGGATATATAGCAAGAATTGAATAAATAGAAAAATGATAGTCCTGTTTTTGGATGAGAAGATTTTAAGTAAAAATATTACTTCTTTGCAAATTAAATGTTTAAATGGGTTGTCATTCCAGTGATAACCTGAGTGAGATAATGTGGTTTTTTAAAAAACTGAATACAGTTATTTTAAATTTAGTGCCTAAAAATGTTACAGTTATTTTAAAGGGCGTAATATAATTTAGGGATTAAAAGCACTGGGTGTAAATTCCTTTGTTTGAATCTCAGCTTTCTCATTTACTAACTTCACAATCTTAGACAGTTTACTTAACTTTTTTAATCTTTAGTTTTTTTATCTGTAAGATGAGGGCAATAATAGTAATTTCTTTATAGAGTTAACATTTGGTGCCAAGCAAAGGTTCATGTTGGTAGTTGTGGTTATTTTTATTATCATTATACTAATTATTAAATGTGTTGGAATTGCCACAGAATTTAAGGGAAAGGGAGAATGGCAATGGTAGATATTAAAACTTCAAAGGTTCTGTGATCAAACTAATGTGATAATATTATGTGGCTTGACTATTGCTCAGCTAAACAGTCTAGAAACAGGTTCAATTATATGTGGTATCTGAATATGGTAAAATGGGGGAAAGGTTATTGACTTGCTATATTTGGCTTTCCATCTGGAAAAGTGATTAAATTACACATTTATTGGAGAATAAATTCCAGATGACGTAAAAATATAAATATAAAAACTAAAAGTATATAAAAATACTAGAAGAGTATTTAGGAAAATTTTATGTAATCTCAGACTAAGAAAGGCCCTTGCAAGCAAAGTAGGCTCATGTACAAGCTGGATAAAAAGTCAAAAGACTAAAAACAAACCCAAAAGGGAGACTGGGAAAAAAAATCCCTATTAGTGTAGAATTCTTTTGGACGCAAATAGCAGAAGACCCCATTCAAAATGGCTTAAACTGTAAGGAGGTTGTTAACACACTTCACGTGAAGTCTGGGAGTAAATGGTTCTGCCGCATTAGTTCAGTAGCTTAAATCTTTATCAAAGATTCCAGGATTTTTTCTGCTCTCTTTTCATTATATTGGCTTTTGTTGTGAACCTTATCTCTTTCTTATTTCCTCTTCTCCTTTAAATACTTGGAAATACCCCACAGTAAAAGACTTGATGATAGTGAATCAAATCAGGATAAAGTTATCCCAAATTACACATCTGTTTTCTTATTTTTCTTTAGAGAAAGAAAAAATAGATTAAGAAAGTCTTATAATAATGGAAACAAGTTCTGTGGACAAGGCACAAAAAACATAACAACTGCATTCCATCCACCATTTATGATGTATGTGGCCCACTGCATGTGTATGGAAGACTGCACAGGAATATGGAAGATCAGATTCTTGATCTATTTGACAAAAACCTATCACATTACTGAATAAGAAAGTATTATTAGCTTACTCCTGGGTGTCATTTTAAAAGACTTAATTACTCCCTGTACATGTTTAAAATCTTACAGATTTTTTACAGAGAAAGAATACCTTGCTGTAGGACTGAATATTTAGCCAGATCAAATTTAAGAAAAAACCTTAAGTTTCATCACAAGCTGTTAAAGCTCTTATTTTGTACTAGGTGACACCCCGTTTAACATCGACCATATTGTTAATAGTTATGGGATTTTATTGAATTAATGAGACTGTTATCATGTAGTAGAATGTCTTGCTGAGTTAATTGAAATTGCAGAGATTATATAAATGGTATTAATGAACTTTGACTGCCTGATGCCTTAGCTTTAATAAAGACTGCTTGGTGGGCTAAATGAACACAGGCAGATAAAAGAACAGGTTCAATTTTGTGAACCTACAGGCTGTTGATGAAGAAAACTTTGTTACCTTTATTTTCAACTGGCATGAGTTCGGAGTGCAATGACTACTAAAAATCTAGCGGAGGAAAAAGCTTTTAAGCAGGCAGAAATGCTGACAATATAGGTGGAATCAAAATACACATTTTGGGAATCAGAAGCATACTGTTAATACATAATTTTTTATTATGCTTTATCAAATTTATATCATATTGAATTCATGATTGTTTCTGGTATTTCTCTTTTCTTTTAAAGATGTCTATGTAATTGCCATTTGTAAAGCAGGTTTTACTAATCTAGAATTGATAGCAAAATCAAAAATCACTTTTAGGTATTTGGAAAAAAATCCCTAGTTTAGATGAAAGTCAAAATTGAACTTGTATAATAGTTTTAATGGTATTCAGAAGACTCTTAATTTCCATCCTGCCAAGAACACCTTTATTTATTGATTTAAAATATGATTTAATGCTATTCTTTTTTTAATATTGTTTTTACTCTGTAGATATATTAAGTGGTAGATATTTCTTTCATTCAGTCAACATGTAGTGATCACCTTCTTTGTGCTGGGCCTGTGGTAGGATCTAGATGTGTGTATACACACACATATACACATTTGCACGCACACACACACTCTCTCACTCTCACAGTTATACAGTGTCCATTCTTACCTGTGGTACAGTACACCCTTAGGGCAAACAGTAGTTCACCATTACCTGCAGTTTCACTTTGTGAGGTTTCAGTTTCCTGTGGTCAACCATCATCCAAAAATAGTTGTATATAGTACAGTAATTTGAGCGAGAGACCACAATCACATAATATTGTTACACTGTATTGTTATAATTGTTCTATTCTTACTATTAATTGTTGTTAATCTTAGTGTGCCTAATTTATAATCTTTAAATTATAATCTTAATACCATTGTCATACACGTGTGTGTAAAAAACAGTCTAGTATATGTAGTTTTCACTACTATTTACAGTTTTAGGCATCCACTGGGAAGTTTTAGAATATATCTCCTGCACATAATCGGGGACTACTGTACAGTCATTTCTGTGCTCATTTTATTTTGTTCCTCTGCTTCTAGACTACAAGCTCCATCAAAATTAGGAACTTGTCCACTTCATTCCCTTTTGTGTCACAGCAAATGTAGGCATTTATAATTTTTACAATAAGTGAAAGATTAATGATGTTTGAACAAATGTAGAATCTAGACAGAGTAGTGTCACAGAAACTAGAGGAAAGAGAACATTTACAGTTTTGAAGATGTCTTTAGACAAGAACTCTTTCTTATTAAACTAGCCATAACTTATTATAAAATATATTGTGGGCAAAAACACTCTTTCTTTCAAAAGGTTATCACCACTGACAGTACAGAAAGAAAACCTCATGATAAACCTAGTAAGAACTATATAGTTTTGCAAGTTTTTGGATTAGAAAATCTGATGTTCTTAAAAATATTCTCCTCAAGTTGATTTTAATGCAATACCAATAAAAATTTTAATGCTTTGTTTACCATTTTGGGTAACCTAAATGATAATGTAACAGCCTAGAGTAAAAAAAAAATAGAATGGTCAAGATGAATTTGAGGGAAAAAAAGGAGCAGAAAATAGAAAATAGTAGAATATTTTCAAGGTCAAATTTTTATAATGGCACAATTATTGTTAATAATATACAAACCAATGGATTACAGTAGAAGCCTGGAAGAAACATCAGCTAAATATTCATTTTTTTACTAAGGATAGCATTTCAGAACTCTGGGGGAAGACGGGTTATTCTACTCATTGAAGATGGAATGATTATTCAGTAAATTGGTATAATTCTTTTGGAGCAAAAAATACCTATTTTCATGGCAAAAACTAAAATTATATCAGTTGAGCAAAGAATTAACTGAAGGAAAAAAGGAAACTGTATTCTTACCTGATCTCAACATGGGGAAGGCCTTTATAGTCATGAAAGCAAAATAGAAAACATGAAGGATGATTTATGATATTGGCTAAAGTTTATAATGTGGATATGAAGTAAGATATATCACAGAAATCAAAAGTAAGACTAATGATAACCATGGTAAAATGTTTGTAACAAAAATTACAAAGGGTTAGTATCTTTAATTGGTATAGAACTACTAGACATCACCAAGGAAAGGAAACACTTTATCAGGAGAAAATGGACAACTTATTAAGTAAACAGTCAATGAAAGTTTGGGGTTCAGTCTTGCTAGCATTTAAGTGAATTGTACCAATTTAACTGTGAAACATGACAAATTTTGTTTTTAAAACTGAATAAAGGTGAAGATGTGTGAGAGAGTGATTTATGTATTCTTCACTGAGGGAAATCTTTCTGGAGACAGCTTAATGGTATACATCATACCAGACTTTAACACATATTTTTATCCCTTTACCTTGAAATTCTCCTCCTAAGGACTTTAATCCTGAAGAAGTCATCAGAAATAGGCAAAAAAAAAAAGATGACCACAAGGATATCTATTGGAGTTTTAAATTTATTTCTTAAGTTTTGTTTTTTGGCTGGCCTCCCTCTCTCCCTTTATCTTTTTTTTTTTAATTTTTGTTTTTGCTTTTCCATACTTTTTTATTAATGCAATACTTCTTTATTACTTTAATGGTTAAAATTATGGCACTTTCTTTTTGGACTAACTTGAGACTATTTCAAGAGAATAAACCCCTCATGATTTTTAAAGCAGAGTTAGCAATGCTTAATGTCATTTTTTTTAGGTGCCTAACATGTTATCTAAAAGATTTTTTTTTCAAGGTTTGTTTAATAAGGAGATGGTTATCCATAAAGACTGAAACAAGATGTGGTAATTTGTCCTAAGTCACAAGTAAATTGTCAATGGATCATATATTGTTTTGTAAAAATATAACTAAATCATTTTAATTCAAGGCTAGTAATAACTTATATGTGAAATCTAAAAAAGTTAACTTGTATATTATCTTTGTGATAAAAATTGGCTTTCTAAGAATAGTACAACACTACTAGACTGTGCAGAGGACTTTGTGACTCTGTTTGTCCATTGTAGGAAGTGTTCTCTGATTCTACCAGCAAAAGATTTATCTCCTCTCTGCTTCCATATTTTATTTTTATTTCCTCTAAAAGTGGTATTTTGTCTTGTCTTCTTATAAAAGAGCATCTCTAGTTACTAAGCAAAAGGAAAGTAGTAATTTGCTCACTTTATGAGACAGGAAAGATTATAATCTATTTTAATTTGCTGAAACATGTTTTTTGACACTTAAGGGGGAAAGAAATCTCATTAGCAAAGGTAGCCATAATGTGGAATACCGTATGTCACCACAATAATGGATCAGTAGTGGATTTTTATAGTACCCTTTTAAGCACAGCTTAGCAACTAATATTTTTGTGTCTATACCTATTCTTGGTGAAACCCAGTATAAGGAGGAAAATCATGTTGACAAAATCATTAAATAAATTAAAATTAACCTTATAGTTGAAGTAGAGAGGAAAAACTTATGGTAGTTTTCTGATTAAATGTGTTAAATCTTATTTTAACAAGTTTATTTTCTGTCATGCCTTCTTAAGGTTGTTTCTTTTATTATCCAACATTTCTAGCTAGCTGACTTCAGTGCTTCCTAAATCTACAGACATCCTAATTTTGAGCCATTATATAATGAAAACATTGGATGTAATTTCCTTAGGTCTACAGTTCTTAGTTGCCCTTCTTACTGCAGATCTTAACACTGTAGCTCATGATTATAATTTGCATAAATGAAATTCATATTTATGAGTACAGATCTTGAAGCAACTGACAGGTGCAAGGTTGTCTACCATGCCAATTTATTGTTTGTCATGTCATTTAAAAGAGAACTGCTCTCCATGTTTTAAAGAAGAATACCTGCTGTGGTTGAATTAGAATCAAATTCTAAAAGTGGATAAAAATCTCATCTTGTAGCTTTCCATTTTTATGTCTTTCTGTATAATGTGGAAATTTTGGTAGTGGGAATTGGTTTGAAGAAGTATTTAACTGAGGTTATACTGTCTACTAATGGACTCTGAGTATCCTCTATTTTTCTGGCTCTTTTATTTTAGGGCATGCATGAGCTGTTAGCACCTATAGTCTTTGTCCTTCACTGTGACCACCAAGCTTTTCTACATGCCAGTGAGTCTGCACAGCCCAGGCAAGTGTTTTTTTTTTTTGCTTTGTTTTTTTTTTTTTTTTTTAATATGAGCTCCATCTGTTTTTTAGCCCTCACTGTAACCTTTGTTTTTAAAACCTGAAAATTTTTTAAATGGAAGGTACCTACAATTTGTATAGGTTGTAAACATTTGATTGTGTTTCATGTGGTTAATTGTTAATTCTACACAATAGTTGTAAGGCCAGTTTAGCTATGGGGCAAATTTGGAATCATAAATGTCTTTGAAAATTTTGATTCTTTATCAAAAGAAGACACATAACGAATGGATCAAGAATTGAAAATTTTTGTTGTAATCGCAAAAGTGTTAATGATTGATAATATTCATATATATCATCCTCTAATGATCCATTTTTCACTCCAAGCTGAGTAAGACTTTATGAGATTCTTTCTCCTCACCAGGTTTGACTCAGCTTAATACATAAGTAAGGGAGAGCAGAGCCACAAAAAAACCTCAGTCTGTAAATAAATAAGATTGCTTCTCAAATTTTTAAGATACATTCATTTATTCTTTCCTGCAAATAACTTCTGTATTTGGATTTAACTTGGGCTAATTGTTAAAATTCACTTTTCTACCTTAAGATACCCTAACTTACGGACCTTCAGAAAATAATTTTGGAAATGTAGGGCTCTAGGACTGTAAGGCAGTGTCCAAGAGTATTCATCAGGCCAGCCCATTATATGCAGTAAACAGAAAACTTGAAGTGAACATTTCACATATCTGACTATAAGATCTTTATTAATCAAATATAACCATCCATTTTACTGAGCGTATATTCAGGCCTTTGTTAAATTAACTTTTGTCTACTAGTTTATAGATTAGTATTTTCAAGTTTCTTTGAAGCTTTGTTAATTTTACTGAGTTTTTTGCTCTTGACAAGAGTATAACCATATGTTAATTGCTTTCACTTCAGTTATTCTAAAATATAAACATGAAGTTAGTATAAAGATCCTGTTTTAATGCCAGTTTTTTTAAAAAACGTGAATGTATGCTTTAGATTGGAGCTCTTTAAAAAACGCGCATGTAGAATATAATTTACAGGAAAGTATAGGTGATTGAAAATAGCTTTTAAATGAGTTGGACATGCTTCTTCAATGGATTCAATCTGTAAAAAGTAAAATAAATGCCTAAGAGGTGTTCTCACTGATAAGTTGATGTTAAAATGAAAATAAAAGTTAGAGAAAATAAATCAATGTTTTGATATTGTATATTTGACCAGTAACTGTATTTTTGTTGTTTTGGACAAGTGATAGATTGTGGATTGATTGATTATTCTAGATGAATCATAGTCAAGGAATATATTGTCACATTGTATATTTGTTATGTGGAATAATTAGATAGTTCATTGTGGCATAGACAAGGCAGCTAATTTGTTTTTGATCTTTATAGAAAGCATTTAATTTGTTAATGGCATTGCTCTTTTCTTATAAAAAGGCTAATATTTTTCATTTGCACATGATATGAAAGTTATCAGTGTAGAATAAGGGAAACTCTGCATCTGCTTTAATTATTTAAAAATTACACATTTTGATTGCTTGTATTGCTTTTTTAAGTGAGGAAATGAAAACTCTCTTGAACCCTGAGTATCTGGAACATGATGCCTAGTAAGTACAAAAACTTCGTCGTTTATTTTATTTTTTTATACCTTCATTATTTTGATGAAAGTTTAACATAACATGTTACTTTGTTTTATTTTTAGTGCAATGTTCTCACAACTTATGGAAACTGCTGAACCTTGGTTTTCAACTTTTGAGCATGATGGTCAAAAGGTAAATCTTATATTACAGATCTTTTCAGTATATTCGATGGAGCAAATGCTTTCGGTAAATAATGACATGTAACCAAAGAATAGTACATAGCCATTATTATTGCTATAACCAAATGAAATTACCTATGGAATAAGATTGAGCCTGGGGATCTAAGTATATTTCTAATTATACTGGCAGATACACAAAGGCAATATAAAATTTTCATATAAATGCATTTTTATGTGTGTATATTAAGCAGCATCAGTGCTTAGTTATAAAATTATTATAATCTTTCTCTTGATATCCTAGTGAGTTGGTATACACATTATTATGGAAATGCATAGGTGAAACGTGTATCAAATAGGTTGTTTGGCTTTTACCAGTGTGTTGCTATTGAATTCATACGTTTAACATCAATATCCTTTACTCTTAATTTCGCTTATTCTTATTTTTACCTATTTAATTTTTATATAATTCACAAAGCATAACATGTACCTATTAAACTTTTAATGGTTTCCAGTATATTTATAGGGTTAGGCTAACATCCTTGCTGTCTAATTCCAAAACATTTTTTGGTCACCCAAAAAGGAAACTCCATGTCCATTAACAATCGGTCTCTATTTCCCTATTCCATATACTTTCTGTCTCTATGGACTTGCTGATTCTGATATTTCATAATAAGTGGAATCATAACATACTGCCTTTTATGACTGACTCCTTTCATTTAGCATAATGTTTTTTTTTTCTTTTTTTTTTAAGTAAAAAAGGAGTGAAGGAGAGGAAGAGAGAGGAAGAAAAAGAGGGAGAGAGAATGGAAATGTAGCTTTATTCTAAAAATGGGTATTAATAATGGCCAATCAATATTTTGTGTATTTAAGGTGGAAAATGTATATTTTGTGTATTTAAAGTGGAGCGCTCTATAAATATTTATTGAGTTTACTTGTTCCAGATCTGAGTTCAAGTCCTGGATATCCTTATTAATTTTCTGTCTCATTGAGTCTAAATTTCTTTATGAGTCTTATGCATCTGGGTGTTAGGTCGTTAGCTCTTATTGTTGCATTGATCCTTTTACCACTATATTTTGTTGCTTTGAAATCTATTTTATCAGATGTGAGAATTGCAACTCCTGCTTTTTTTAATTAATTTATTTATTTTTGCTCTTCATTTGGTTGGTAAATCTTTCTCTATCTCTTTGTTTTAAGTCTTTGTGTCTCTTTGGATGTGAAATGGGTCTATATGTAGCATACCGTTAGGTTTTGGCTGTATCTTTTGACTGGGGGATTTAGTCAACTTAAATTTAGGGTTACTGCCATTTGATGTTAACTGGCTATTTTATTCATTCGTTGATGTAAATTCTTCTTTATGTTGATGCTCTTTACTTTTTGGTATATTTTTAGAAAGGCTAATACTGGTTTTTCCTTTCTATGTATAATGCTTCTTTCAGAAGCCTTGTAAAGCCGGCCTGGTGGTAATAAAATCTCTGAGTACTTGCTTGTTCATAAAAGATTTTATTTTTCCTTCAACTGTGAAGCTTAGTTTGGCAGGATATGAAATTCTGGGCTGAAAGTTCTGTTCTTTAAGGATATTGAATATTGGCCCCCACTTTCTTCTGGCTTGTAGAGTTTCTGCTGAGAGATCTGCTGTAAGTCTAATAGGCTTCCCTTTGTGGGTAATCTGACCTTTCTCTCTGGCTGCCCTTAGTATTTTCTCCTTTGTGTCAACCCTGGTGAATCTAACGATTATGTGCCTTGGGGTTGCTCTTCTTGAGGAATATCTTTTTGGTGTTTTCTGTATTACCTGGGGTTGAATATTGTCCTGCTTTGCTAGATTAGGAAAGTTTTCCTGAATAATATCCTGAAGAGTATTTTCCAGCTTGGATTCATTCTCTCCGTCGCATTCAGGTACACCTATCAAACTGTAAATTAGGTCTTTTCACATAGTCCCATATTTGTGGAGACTTTGCTCATTCCTTTTTATCCTTTTTTCTCTATTTTTGTCTTCTTGTTTTATTTCATTAAGTAGGTCTTCAACCTCTGATATCCTTTCTTCTGCTTGATCAATTAGGCTATTCAAACTTGTGCATATTTTGCTAAGTTTTTGTGTTGTGTTTTTCAACTCCGTTAGTTCATTTATATTCCTCTCTATATTGTCTATTCTTGTTAGCATTTCGTCAAACCTTTTTTCAAAGTTTTTAGTTTCTTTACGTTGGGTTAGAACAAGTTCTTTTAACTCCCAGAAGTTTCTTATCACTTAGCATAATGTTTTCAGTGTTCATGTTGTGGCATTTACCACTATTTAATTTCTTTTTATGCCTGAATAATATTGCGTTATATAGATATACCACATTTTGTTTGTCCATACATCAGTCGATGGACATTTGGGCTATTTTCACTTTTGGCTATTGTGAATAACTTTGAACATTTATATATAAGATTTGTATGAACATGTTTTCATTTCTCTTATTGCATACCTAGGAGTGGAATTGCTGAGTTAACTATATTTTTAAACTAACCAACATGCTATCTTGTAAACTAACCTACATACCTATGATCATTATGGTTGTCTCATTATATTACACAATATTGGAAAAATCACAAATAATTCTGGCTATGGATGCTGTTAAAGATATTTGGCATATTGTTTCCAGTATGTTTCATTTCTTTTATATTGGTATAATTGATTGCATTCTGGTTAGAAATCATTATTACTCAGTCACTTGATTCCAATTCTTGAAAAATGAAATCAGCAATTGATGTTTTTCATGCCTTTGGCCAGCTCAGAGGTTGGCATCCTACTGCCTGTAGGCCAAATTTGGCCTACCATCTGTTTTCGTACATCTTAAGAGTTAAGAATGGTTTTTATGTTTTTAAATGGTTAGAAAACTATCAAAAGATGAATAGTATTTTGTAACATGTGAAAAGAATATGAAATTTAAGTTTCCATGCCCTTAAATATAATGTTTCGGAACACAGACATTTCTGTTTGTTTACTTGTTGTCTGTGGCTGCGTGGTCATTACAGTGGCAGAGTTGCAGCACAGACTGTATGACTTGTAAAGTGTAAAATATTTACTCCCTGGCTCTTTACAGGGTAAGTTTGTTGACCCCTACACTAGGTGATAAAGTGTTTCTTCATATACCAACATATTATATTCTAAAAGGGTTGCTGAAGGTAAAAGCTACTGTATGTATATTTGGCAAACTACTCTATATTCTTGGAATAATAACCCATTTTTTCTTGTCAAGTGATGTGATGAAGTCATAGACTTACATGAACGTCAAAATTTTGAGCAGAGTAGTTGAACACATATAAACACTGGTCATTTCTTATAGTGGTCATTTTGTATTTTATAACTGAGTCACAGTATGTGAGAAACTCAGTGACTAAACTGTGAGGGTTATCAATTCTTAGTTTTAACCTAATTGTAGTGATATTACTGAGTCAGCTTTATAAAAGTGGCTAAGACAACACAAAGAAAGACATTGATTTTATCAAGGAATGTAATAGATGTGACTTTTGAACATTCATGTTAATTACTTGCATATATGAATGAATAAATATGTTCCTAAAAATGATTTCTAGTGAATCCCTTTATCATCATCCTATTTTAATTCTTTCATGGTGCTATCACCTTTTTTAAAGAATGAATGGTAGGCAGAAAATAAGGCTTCTTGTTTAAACTGTCATGAATAAAGAATGACATTCATATATTTATTTCATATTTAAGTAATACATGTTTAATTTTTCTGTTTTTAGGGGAGAGAAACACTGATGACTCCTATTCCCTTTGCTAGACCACAAGATTTAGGGCCAACAATTGCTATTGTTACTAAAGTCAACCAGATCCAGGATCATCTACTGAAGAAGCATGATATTGAGCTTTACATGCACTTAAACAGACTAGAAATTGCACCACAGATATATGGATTGTAAGTATTACAATTTTGTTCGTTTGTTTTTTTGGTGTGTGTTTTTTTTTTTTTTTTGAGACAAAGTCTCACTCTTTCATCTATGCCAGAGTGCAGTGGTGTGATCTTGGCTGACTGCAACCTCTGCCCCTTGGGCTCAAGCTAATCTCCCACCTCTGTCTACCAAGTAGCTGATACCACAGACACATGCCACCGCGCCCAGCTAAGTTTTATAGTTTTGGTAGATGGGGTTTCACCATGTTGGCCGAGCTCCCCCGAACTCCTGAGCTTGCCTCTGACTCCCAAAGGGCTGGGATTACAGGTATGAGCCACTGCGCCTAGCCTAAAGTTTAAATTGCAACTATATCTAATTATATAGTAGTTTCTAGTGATATGTTAGTTTCTATGTGTCTCGGATCCTTATAAGTGAAAATAGCAACTGTTCCAGCTCCATTTTATTTTATATCTCTTTTGTGTTTCTATGTGCATGCTCAATGTTTATTATTTCACCTGTGTATGGTATGTCATCTAATAACTCCCTGTAATACCAACCCTGTAAATTGGTTATTATTCCTCTATTAGAGATGAAGAAGCTAAGGCTCCGATTTAGTTTACATGGATTGCCCAGTGAAATCATAACTCAAAACTGTAATTATTTAGGATTGGCTACTTAATTTGCAGAGCCAAGTCCAAAAGAAAGATGAAGGACCCCTTTGAAAAAATTAGTAAGAATTTCAAGCTAGTAACAGCAAATCATTAAACTGCTTTCTCAGATTACATTCCAAGAAGTTGCATGAGTCATACATGCATGGCGCTAGCCCCAAATCCTAACAGCACTATAAGATGTTCATGTTCTTTTTATTATATCATCGTTTGCTCTACCCTGAGAGGTAGATTCCTAGAAGTGAGATAGATGCCTCTCTCAGGGACCATTATGTATTTTCTTCAGCCATATAACTTCTGTAACATGTCATAGCAGAACAGGGAGATGGTCACTCCTTAGGGGTGTGTTTTCAGTGGCTTATAAAGTGTGTATGCAAATTAGAAAAATATGATTTTAGTAAATATGAATTATCTAGTGCTATAGACAAAAGGGTTCTTTATATTTAAATAACAGGATATTTATATCTCGTGCTAGGCAGTTTCTTCATAGGTATTTGATGTAAAGCTTGACTCTCCATTAGGTAGAACGTACAAAATTGAGACAGTTTTTTATTGAGGTGTGCAAAGTAGATGCTCAGTAAATGTGAATTTGTTATTTGAATTGCAAAACATCTCAAAAAAATCACCTAAAGCAGAGGCTGTTTATTTAAGCCAGGAAAGAGAAAAAATGAGTGTTTTATTTATGTTCTCATTTTACACATAGTCTTTCACAAATAATAACTTTCAGCTGTTTCTCTTCTTAGCCCTGCACTGTGACTGAAGAAGTCTGCTTTTCTGGTTTAATGCTGCCTGTTTTCCTTTCTCTTATCTTGACCTCATCATTGGGAGCAGCATCATTATTCCCAGTGAAAATGAGAAAATTGCGTGAGACATGTGGTACTGGGCAGCAATGCAGGTCATTAATGAATTGCTATGCACACTTTAAAGTCTAATATGTTTGTGATTAGACATAAAAATTTATTTTGAAATAGCTAGTAATAAGGTCAGGAGTTAAATTTTATATTCCTCTCCACTGTACAGTCAAAGAATTTATATACTCAAATACAAAAGCACATTTTACCCCCTCAGAAATGTCTCACTAAGGTCCAGAAATTGGTTTTAAATATTAGGGAAAGAACTTGATGTTGAACATGTTTATCATTTCTTTGAAAGGCTTTATAATTTTTTTGCCTTTTTGCCCAAACTGTTGCTTTATGTTGCAGTGGTGATGGTATAGGCCTGGGTGCAATCGTTTATTATAACCAGGGTGTTTCTGTTTCATTTTCAGACGTTAGTTTCCTTCAGTTAGTTTCAGGGGTTAGTTTTATCTTTATCATAATAATTTATAGAATTCCTTTGACATCTTGATCAGTACCTTCCCATTAAAATTGCATGATCCATGGCATAATTGCTCTTAATCTTTCCAATGTTATCAGCAATACTGAAAATACCAGGACTTATAATAAGCATAGTTACCTCATTTAGCTCATTATTTTTAATAGAATCACATTGATATTATTTTTTAAAATATGTATTTTTTAATCTTTGAAGGATAGATCAGTCGTGGTCTTAATTGGCCTGTATTACTATCTGTATATTTTCTATTAATGACTGTTAGAAACCTTAGGTCAAAAAATACTATAAGCCAGGCATTGGTAGCACATGCCTGTAATCCCACCCTACTCAGGAGTCTGAGGCAGGAGGATTGCTTGAGCCCAGGAGTTCAAGTCCAGCCTGGGCAACATAGCAAGACCCCCCCATTCCAGTAATATCAATAACAATAATGATAATAACAATACTGCTGTTAGAAGCATAGCCCCTGAAATAAAACAGCCTTTGTTTTTTCATCTGTGAAATGGAAATTAAAAATAATGGTACCTACTTCATAGGGTGCCTGTGAGAATTAAATCGTAATATACAAAAAGCATAGTGCTCAGTGTGTAGTATACATTTAATATATGTTTTGACATGCTTTTATTATCATTATTTGTCATTACCATTACTTAATTAGAGTATCATGGCTATGTGAATATGATGTCCTGTGCAAATCATTAGCCCTCCCAACTCTGACTTTTTTTTTTCTTTTCACTAAAGTCTATGTACTTCTCTTACCTGGAAACTTAAAATAGCCATCTTTTTTTTAAATTGCATTTTAGGTTTGGGGGTACATGTGAAGAATATGCAAGATAGTTGCATAGGTACACACGTGGCAGTGTGATTTGCTGCCTTCCACCCCTTCACCTATATCTGGCATTTCTCCCCATGCTATCTCTCCCCAAATCCCCACTCCCAGCTGTCCCTCCCCCATTCCCCCCAACAGACCCCAGTGTGTAGTACTCCCCTCCCTGTGTCCATGTGTTCTCATTGTTCAACACCCGCCTATGAGTGAGAATATGCGGTATTTCATTTTCTGTTCTTGTGTCAGTTTGCTGAGAATGATGGTCTCCAGGTTCATCCATGTCCCTACAAAGGACACGAACTCATCATTTTTGATGGCTGCATAATATTCCATGGTGTATATGTGCCACATTTTCCCTGTCCAGTCTATCATCGATGGGCATTTGGGTTGCTATTGTAAACAGTGCTGCAGTGAACATTCGTGTGCATGTGTCCTTAGAGTAGAATGATTTATAATCCTTTGGATATATACCCAGTAATGGGATTGCTGGGTTAAATGGAATTTCTATTTCTAGGTCCTTGAGGAATTGCCACACTGTCTTCCACAATGGTTGAACTAATTTACACTCCCACCAACAGTGTAAAAGTGTTCCTGTTTCTCCACATCCTCTCCAGCATCTGTTGTCTCCAGATTTTTTAATGATCGCCATTCTAACTGGCATGAGATGGTATCTCAATGTAGTTTCGATTTGCATTTCTCTGATGACCAGTGATGATGAGCATTTTTTCATATGTTTGTTGGCCTCATGTATGTCTTCTTTTGTAAAGTGTTCATATCCTTTGCCCACTTTTGAATGGGCTTGTTTGTTATTTTCTTGTAAATCTGTTTTAGTTCTTTGTAAATTCTGAATACAGCCCTTTGTCAGATGGGTAAACTGCAAAAATTTTTTCCCATTCTGTTGGTTATCGATTCACTCTAGTGACTGTTTCTTTTGCCGTGCAGAAGCTGTGGAGTTTGATTAGGTCCCATTTGTCTATTTTGGCTTTTGTTGCCAATGCTTTTGGTGTTTTGATCATGAAGTCCTTGCCTACTCCTATGTCCTGAATGGTTCTGCCTAGATTTTCTTCTAGGGTTTTTATGGTGCCAGGTCTTATGTTTAAGTCTTTAATCCATCTGGAGTTAATTTTAGTGTAAGGTGTCAGGAAGAGGTCCAGTTTCTACTTTCTGCACATAGCTAGCCAGTTTTCCCAACACCATTTATTAAACAGGGAATCCTTTCCCCATTGCTTATTTTTGTCAGGTTTGTCAAAGATCAGATGGTTGTAGATATGTCGTGTTGCCTCCAAGGCCTCTGTTCTGTTCCATTGGTCTATATCTCTGTTTTGGTACCCGTACCATGCTGTTTTGATTACTGTAGCCTTGTAGTATAGTTTGAAGTCCAGTAATGTGATGCCTCCCGCTGTGTTCTTTTTGCTTAGAATTGACTTGGTTATGTGGGCTCTCTTTTGGTTCCATATGAAGTTCAAGGTGGTTTTTTTCAGTTCTGTGAAGGTCATTGGTAGCTTGATAGGGATAGCATTGAATCTGTAAGTTACTTTGGGCAGTATGGACAAAATAGCCATCTTTTGGATCAGTGCTTTCTAAAGTGATGCTATAGAAGTTGGGAGTGAATTTTTATAAATGATCATATAGTTTGGCACAATAATCTTATGTTCTAGAATTTAAGAAATACTGTAGTTTTGTATTTCATAGAAATGAATTAAAATATCTTGTTCTGTATCATACAAATAAATTAATCCAACTAATTGCTGTGCTACTTTTATTTCTATTGTAAGAAAGTTGTCAATTGAGTTTTACATTCAAAATTAATACTTGAAAATATAGTCAGTGGTTTGAGTAAATATCACCAAGGGGCAGATGTAAAATAATCAGTTTTTAGTTTATGAAACTGCTTTCTCAGATTACATAATAATTCATTCATAGTTGTGTCATCTAAAGTGTGCTTCTACATGCCAATATTTTATAGAATTTTGGTTTTCAAACAAAACTAATACTTTCTTGTAAAGTAAAATCAAGAAAATTACAATTTACAGTAAAAGTGAAAAATTTTTTAATTAAAAATAGAAAATAAAAATAAATAAAAGTAAACTACTAGAAATTATAGTAAAACTATCAATAATGAATGAGTCAGTGGCAAATGTTATCAATACCAACAGCTCATATTGAAAGAGGAGTAAATCATAAATATATACTTACATGG